TGGTCGTGGTCAGGGCGCCGGGATAGGGCATCTGCGACCCGATTAGTCTCCCCCTTGATGTGCTCAGTGGTGAAACTAAACTCGGATAGGTCGCGCCACCAGCGAGCCTGTCGAGAAGTGAGCTTCGGCTTAGTCAGAAAAGCCTGGACAACAGAGTTGTCCGTGCGCACCGTGAATGGTGCCCCGTGCAGGTAGTGCCGCCAGTGCCGAGCGGCATAAACTACTACGAGAACCTCACGTTCATCAGCAGTGTAGTTTATCTCGGCGGGCAGGAGCTGACGGGAGTAGAGGGCTATCGGACAATCACCTGAGCGAGACTCGACAGTGCCGTCCTCGGCGATGGTAGGAGAATAGTCAATAGAGGGCTCGTCAATAGCTGGACGAGTAGGCGTCAGTCGGGAAGCAGTGGTAGGGGCAGGTGGTGGGAAGCAAGGGATACGAGGATGAGAGGAATCAGGGGAGGAAGGGAAGACCTGAGAAAGCACTGCTCCTACAGCAAAGTCTGACGCATCGGTGGTAAGGATAAAAGGGCGATCAAAATCGGGTAGGTGAAGAACCGGTGCGCATGTCACCGCCTTCTTGAGGGCGCGGAAGGYGTCCTCGTGGAGGGGTGTCCAAGCCCAGGGTGGGTTTTTCTGGAGGAGGGTGGAGGTAAGGACGTAGGAATACCTAGTGTATCCCCGGAGGAAGTTACTATAGTAGTTGGTCAGGCCTAGGAAGCTGCGAAGCTACTTGGCGGATGTGGGGGCAGGCCACTCCGCAATAGCAGTGATCTTCGCGTCGTCCATGTGGAGACCCTGGTCAGACACGTAGTGTCCTAAGAAATCCACTTTGTGCTGGGCAAAGCGGCACTTGCTCAGCTTGGCGTAGAAGCCATGTGTACGCAAGCGGTCAAGGACGTCGCGGAGGTGTCTGAGGTGCTCCTCAAGGGTACGACTGTAGACCAGGATATCGTCGAGGTAGACGAGAACGTACTGCTCCAGGATGTCCTTGAAGATATCGTTCATCGCCCTCTGGAAGGTGGCGGGTGCATTGGTGAGGCCGAATGGCATCATCGTAAACTCGTAGTGGCCGAAGCGCGATCGGAACGCTGTCTTCGGCTGGTCGGCTGCAGCGACGCGGATCTGATGGTAACCGCTACGAAGATCAATCTTCGTAAAGAAGCGGTTGCCTGCTAGGCGGTCGAACAGCTCATCGGAACGAGGCTTGGGGTAGCTGGTCTTAACCGTGTAGCGGTTAAGACTGCGATAGTCGATGCAGAGACGGAGAGTTTCATCCGCTTTGCGAGCAAAGAGGACGGGTGCACCCCACGGGGAGTTGCGGGGTTTAATGAAACCCAGTCTCAAGAGCTCCTCAAGCTGGCGCTTGAGTTCGGTGGCCTCAGGAATCGAGAGTGTGTAGGGTGCCTGGTGGTGAACACGATAGTCAGGCACAAGCTGAATGGAGTGCTCGACGTCACGCATCGGTGGGATGCCGGCGTACGAGAACGAGATGGGAAAACGTCGTGGTACTCTCGGATGAGGTCACGAACTGCGGGCTCTAGGTCAGCCGTATATCGTGCGAGTTCCTCAGCGTCAGCGTCAGTGCCCGACGGCGGGGTGGACTCGACGGACGGCGGAGGGACGGAAATCGAAATGGGAGCCATGGAGATAGACGAAGGATCTGGCTCCAGAGGGATGAGCTCGGCGTCGGGACAGGGTGGATCATAGTGTAAGAGATCCGTCATGTCCACCATAAAGAAGGTGATATCGTCCTGTCGAATGAAGTGAGCGAACTGCCGAGGCGAGGTGACAGTGATAGAGGGGGGTGGTGTGGGCACTGAAGGGTCCGGGGGAGGAGGATCGGGGTGTGGTATCGCCGTGGTACCTATGAAAGGTACGCGATACGTCTGTCCACACTTCGTTTTGAGAACGAGAGTGTTGGTCGCCCAATCGGCCTCAGTGCTGCGGAACCGACGAGACCACGGAGTGCCAAGAATGAAGTCGTACCCCGTCTCCATCACATCGAAATGTGCAGAGGAGCGGTGGCGACGAGACGCCGGGGAACGATCAGTCGGCTCGAGAGTGAGGAAGAAGGGGAGGTCAGTGACCGTCTGATCAAAGAAGCGCTGGGTCTTGTCATTCCCTAGGGTAACGGAGATGGGAGTCGGAGATCCTGTCGTGGGTAAGCGGGCTTCCTTCACCACGCGTGGGTGAATGAAGTCGCCCTGAGAACCGGAATCCCAAAGCGTTGAGTACACCCTCGTGGAGGTCCCGAGTCGTATTGGGATGATCGAGAGGGTGCGATCAGGGTCAGAGAGGATGGCGAGAAGACGACGCAATGCAGCGACATGGAGGGTGAGTCGCTCCTGACGAGCCTGGAGCATGCTCAAGTCCAGAAGAGAGGACACAACGTCCTTGCGAGTAGCAAGCTGCTCACTGCAACGGGCTGAGCAAATGGCTCGACGCGTCGGTAGTCGCGGCGGGGAAGGAGGGGAGACGGTGGTCTGCAGAGGCGCAGACGATACTGCGACAGAGGGCTGAGTACACTCTGTCGAGTCCTGCGATACCTCAACTCTAGTAGCGAGAGGGGCGAACCGCGACGGAGATGTCGGGAAACCCACTACTGAGGAGGGTGCACGTGTACACTGCACTGTGGCTAGGAGGCGCCGCGGGGATGTGAGGCGCCGGGGGGGGACTGAGCACGACGCTGACGAGAAAGATCAGCGTAGTGGCGGTCGAGGGCGGTAGTGTAAGGGCACCGCGAGGAGGTATGACCGTCCAAGCGGCAGCGCAAACACCCACGTCGGCCCAGAATAGCCGCGCGCTCCTCAGCGGAAAGGACACCGCGAGGAGGGACGAAGCCCTGAGGAAGGTCCTCCTGAGGGACCTCGGGGGGCGACGCGCCAGCGTGACCGGGGCGGTTGCGTGCTCGAGAGAGGGCGGAGAGCGCGAGCTGAAGGCGCTCAGCTGCAGGGAGGGTCGAGTCCTCCAAGTGATAGTGGACGGCCTCGCAGAGATCGAGGTCGTCGTTGTGGTCGCCCTCAGGTGACGTGAGGCAACAGCGTCCTGCTCACCATACTCCAGCGCGCTGAAGCGGCGCGAGAAGTGGCGGCCCTGCTCCGTGGAACGGCGGGGGCGACCGCGGAAAGGGGAACGGCGCTGGGAAGTGTCGTGAGAGGAGGAGGAGGCGTAGCCCGTGCGCTGGGGCTGGGAGGAGGAGGNGGGGCGACCGCGGAAAGGGGAACGGCGCTGGGAAGTGTCGTGAGAGGAGGAGGAGGCGTAGCCCGTGCGCTGGGGCTGGGAGGAGGAGGCGGGGTGAAGACGGGCTCGTATCCGCTGGTGGTCCCTGGCGGCCTCGTAAGCCTGTGGGGCCGATGTGAACTCGTACTACCATGGCTCGGAGCGGTACTCGAGCGGAAGGTTGGCCAAGAAACGATCAATAAGGGCAGCCTTGTGGAGGAACGGCATGTCGCAAATGAGGCGGGCGTCCTGAAAGACCTGGATGTGGCGATCCAGGCCGACAACGCTACCAGAGCTGGACCAGCGTGTAGTAACGACACGCTCGAAGGCGTCAGTCACGTCGTATCGGGCTCCGAACCGATCCTCGAGGAACGCCTGGAAATCCACGAAGGTCGGAGTCCGACCCTCACGAAGGGAGTAGGCATAAAAATCCTCCCAGGCCTCGAAAGGACCGCCACGCAGGCGCGTGGAGAGGTGACCCACCCACGTCTCGGGTATGGCGCCCATGAGCTGGAGTGTGCGGGTGGCAGACTGCAGCCACCGAGACACGCGTATGCCTGTACCGTCATACAAGGCAATGTCCGACAATCGGATGAGTGGTGCGCCACCGTTTTGGCGGCGAAGGGATCGAGGAGCGGAGGCCTGTGCCACGGCTGAGTAAGTCGGCGCAGGTCCTGGAGAAAGGGGCGCAGCTGACTGTGCGCCCGGGCCGCATGGGGGAGCGGCGGTGGCAACAGCGGCAGGCTGCGAGGGTGCTGCGGTAGAAGAGGTCGCAACAACCGCGGGAGTAGGAAGAAGGTAGGAAGGAGTTGTACAGGGTGCAGGGCGCGGAAAGCGAGCCTGCATGAGAGGAAGGGTAGAGGAGGTAGGGGGTGCCCCTGAAGGCGTGGCCACCTGTGAGGGTGGGGGTGGCTGAAGGCGTAAGAGGGCGAGGTCGGCCCGGAGTTGGGCAATCTCATCCGCGAGACCTCGAACGTAGGTCGATCGAGGGGTGGCAGGAGGAAGAGTGGAGGGGGTGGACGCACAAGCGGCGCGGGGCATCCCTGAGGGGGGAGAGCCAGGTGGGGCTGCGGTCGTGCGAAGGGGAGGGAGAAGCGGGGCACCCGGAAAAGTTGAGACCATGGTAGCGGGTTGTTGTACCGTGGTTGTAGGGACCGGGATCTGGGCGGGTGCGCCCGTAGACTGAGGGGGGGCCTGGCTCGTGGCGGCCGTCGCGCTAGGGGCGTGGATAGTCACCAAGATGGTCGGGTAAGGAGCTACGGACGAGGAAGCTCCGCCGTGGCCACCCTGTCGGAGGACGGGGGACCCGGACTGGGAGCCAGGAGATGACGGACATGCAGCGTCCTAGAGTTGCTGCATGTCGGCGGCAAGTGTCGCCATTTGCGCCTGTAAGGGCACGAGGGTCGCGAGTTGCGCCTGGATGGGCGCAAGGGTCGCAAGTTGCGCCTGGATGGGCGCAAGGAGGGAGGTGAGGAGGGTGTGTAGATCCCCCTGGGGCTGATGGCCCTGGTCCGCCGGCACGGGTGTGGAGCCCGATGTCGTGGTCATCGCCGTGTCGGCGGCGTGTGACGCACCGTCGGCCATGGGGAGATGACAGACCGGACTGGAGGGGGCCAGAAGAGGTCCGCGTGAGCGGAGGGCATAGGGGGAAGTCCGCGGTAGAAAGCGGCGAACGGCGCTAGCAAGGCTAGCACGGGTGCCGTCAAAGGGGGAGGGGTGGTTCGGGTCCAGGGTGCCCGAAGAGGACGGGGAAGTAGAGGGGTTTTGAGGAACCCTAAACCCTACAAAACCCTAAGAAAACCCTAACCGAGGTTTAAGTGGCTAGGGTAGGGTACCGGTGACCTAATCAAGAAAGTAAAAGAGAAAACATAGGGGGAGGGAAGGCGGGAGAAAAATAAATAAACAGCGAGATTTCGAGAGAAAATAAAAATAAATAAGGAAATAAATAAATAATAAAAATAATTAAAGAAATAAGTAAAAGGATGGATAGGGAAAATAATATTTATTTATTTTTATTTATTTATTTTTATTTATTTATTTTTTTTGAAATTTTCGGCAGCATTTCCCTACCCCCCACGGGGTCAAGAATGTGCCAAGGGAAAAGGAGAGACCAAGGTGAGCACATTAGAGATGCCGCAAAAAAGAAATTTCAGAAAAAAAAATAAAATAAATAAATAAATAAATATGTGAGGAGGTGGGGAGAAATGGGTTATCTGATTTTTCAAAAATTTTGGCAGCGTTTCGTTACCCCCATGGGGTCAAAGTGTGCCGAAAAGACTAAGTAAGAGAAAATCAGAAAATTTCGGCAGCACTTCGTTACCCCCACGGGGTCAAAGCGTGTGCCGAAAGCAAGAAAGACTAACACCTAATCAGATTTAGGGTTGCCGCCAAGAAATTCGAATTTTCAGAATAAATAAAAATAAATAAAATAAAT